CCCACTGCCAACATGGTTCTTCAAAGACTGCATGCGTGGAGTCAGGAAAATGGCCTGGCCATCAACCCGTCAAAGTGTGAAGCCGCTTGGTTCACACTCTCCACGCACACGGAGTCAGATTATGATCGTGAAGAAGGTGGCCCCTGGTAGTGGCTGGATGTCAAATCCCAGTCATGACCATGGGGGCATCGCGAACTACTAAGCTTCTTGGCATGGATCTCGATCCACGACTGACGCTAAATGTGGCGGCCACCAAGCAATGCGCTGCCACTTCGCAACGGATATCGCAGCTACGCTGCATAGCGCACAAAGAGGCGGGACCATCTCCACATGACCTACGCACGTTCGTCATCGGATACGGTGCTTCCAAATTACGCTATGGCAGCGAGCTCATATGGGCGGCAGCGACGGATTCAGCGAAGAATGAGACGCAGAAGACGTACGCAACCCTAGCACGCATTGTCAGCGGAGTTCCGAGCACTGTTGACCCGGAATCCGCACTGCTGGAGGCTAATATGCCTCCGCTCCACGTCCTCTGCCTGCGCGCACGGCTCTCCATATTTGAGAACACACGCGCATGTCAGATGGACTGGATGCGGAGACCCCCGCCTGAGCCACCGCCTCGCGCTGGTTTCCGCATCCCGCCATTATCTCGGGACGAGCTATATGTCTTCGTAGACGCATACACAAAGGACTATGGCATCACCGAGAGCTCACCACGCGAAGAGCGGTTCTTTCGCAGCTCCATTCCTCCCTGGTTTGCGGCCTCCGCTCTCCGGGTCACCATCGGCGTGGAACTTCCGATAGACCACTCAATAACTGACGAAGAAGAGCTGATGCGGGAAAAGCGCAGAGTCAGCGAAGAGGCCCTGGCGCTGCACAGCCATCGATCGTGGATACTTGCGACCGATGGCGGTGTCGACGTTTCCAAGTCAGCAGGGGTTGGAATACTGCTTTCATCCCTCAACTCATCGGAGATAATAGAAAAGGCCAGCATAAACTGCGGTGCGCGCCCATGCAGCTACAGGACGGAATCCCGTGCGCTGCTTCTAGCCCTAGAGAAGCTGATGATCCCTCGTATCCGACACAGGCGTAAAACCCTGCTTGTGGTTACGGACAGTCAGTCTCTTCTAGCGGCTCTAAACAAGGGCCCGCTCAGTCAGACAGACTGGACGGAGGATCGGATCTGGCAGCGCCTCTTAACACTGACGTGTGCTGGCTGGTCCGTGCACCTGCAGTTTTGTTACGGACATTGCGGAGTACATGCTAACGAGCCTGCAGATCAGTATGCGACGCAGACTATGGAAAGTGGACAATACACGGAGCAAGGAATCGCACCTTTATGGCATACGGATCTGCTGACATGTTTTACTACCCAGCTCACCAACAAGTGGCGTAGTACCATTCGTCAAGACACTCATCGCTACATGCTTTGCGGCACAAGGCCATCAGATCTCAGCGGTAAGGACCTGATCACTCAGGAAGTTCTACACCGTCAGGAACTGGTTCACCTCGCAAGGGCAAGGTGCGGGGAATCTGAGCTCTGGGGCCGACTATACTGGGCCGTGAGAGATTGCACGAACCAATGCCGTTTCTGCAACGTCTCACCGGAACAGTCTGCATACATGCGCTCTAACAACGATCCAACCGCACCGGGGACGGACACTGTTCCCCCGTCGGCAAGGGATGAAGACGTCTCTCCGGTAAGGAGACGGACCCTCACACGCCGTCGGAAGGAGAAATGTCCGCACTGTGATTCCACATTGACGGGATTCTCGGGTCTCGTCAGTCACTGTCGGTCATTTCACCCGGAACATCCTCCACCGCTTCCCGAGCTCAAATGTGATTTCTGTGACATGGTTTTCCCCACACGGAGAAGCACCGCACAGCACAGAAGTCGCTGCGCACACAACCCAGACGCCACACGGCATCGAAACAGCAGTGCCAGGAGGCGATCTCTGCTGCCGCAGGATCAGCCAGCCTCCACAAGCACGCCAATCGGCCCGCAGGAAACCTTGCACCATCTGCTTCTAGAATGTCCAGGCACCTTGGCTGTGCGTCAACGGCTGGGCATTGAACAGGACCTTCGCCTCGGAAAGTTCTCTCAATGGAAGTTGCTTCATAGCAGGAAACTTTTGTCGTTGCTCGACCACCTCTTCGGCATTCAGATGGCATTGTATAGCTAGACGCGCTGGTAGGAGTAGGAAAAAAACAAATTTGTCTCTCTTTTTCCTTCGGCTCTGCGTTGACGGGCTGTTAGTTTGTGCTGAAGGCTACACGCAAGTGACAGGAGTGATGGCGATGACGACTGGCCGTGTGCTGCTGGTGTGTGCCCTCTGCGTGCTGTGGTGCGTTGCCGGCGGTAGATGTGACGGGGAGGACACGGTACTTGTTGTCGTTTCGCCTGGTGGTCGTTCGAACGACGGTCAAAGCGGGCCGGGACCAGCACCACCTTCACCGCCAGGAATAGGCACATCAGGTCCAGGATCAATAGTACCAGAGAGTGAAGGATCACAAGAAATAATTGCAGGAACGTATTCAGAAGGAAGCGGAGAAAAAAATTATAAAGACGAAGATGGAGAAGAGGAAAGCGTTGCAGAAGACGGTGAAAATTCAAGAAATCACGAGAGGCTTTCAGAGCAGCCAACGCAACAAGAAGTATCTCACGAAGAAACTCCAGAAGAAAAAGGATTGAAAGAAAGACTAAAAGAAAAAGATGTGTATCCACCAGGAGAGGAAGTAATAAAAGGGGCACAACAGTCACAATCGCAACAACCACCGCCACAACAATTGCAGGTACAAATAACAGCACCGGCAGGAAGAGGAGGCACAACTGCAGCAACAGGGCCAGCACGACCACCAGCACCCGCAGAACCATCATCAATGGATGGAAGTCGAACAATAGAACCAACAGATTCACGGAGTCCATCACAAGAATCGCATGATAAGTCACCGTTACTAACCAAAACGGAGTCCAGTGCACCTGTTCCGCCTTTAAAAGATGCTTTCCCAGAGCAACATGGTCAAGAAACAACCACACCGGATTCGGTGATGAGTGCACCTGCAGGACGTCAAGCGAGAAATACAGCACCATCCACTTCTACAAATGACAGTGGTGAAGCCCAGAGTGAGGCGGATGGGAGTGACGCTCAACGGCCCAACCCCAACGAATCACACGACGAATCCGATTCTGGCAAAACCAAAGTTCCCACAACACTCAGTGAGGCAGCACCACAAGCAACAGAAACAGTCGCCGCCACCCAAACAAACCATACGAAGACTATAGGCGACAGTGACGACAGCACCGCGGCCTCCCACACCGCCTCCCCTCTTTTGCTTCTTCTTGTTGCGTGTGCGGCTGCTGCTGCGGTGGTGGCCGCGTGAGAGTGAGGGAGAGAGAGCCATGCACCGCCCGCACACACACTCGTCCTTCTCTCTCTGTGTGTGTCCCCTTGCATGGACTCTCGCCCTCACCTCACCCCACGAGGCACACACATAATGTGCCCATTGTATATATGCATGCACACCCATGCAGGCCCGTTGGTGCTCTCTTTTGCACGACACGCACCGCTGCCGTCCTGCCTGGCTGCATGGGCGGAGCACCGTAACTGTTTCTGTTTTGTTTCCATTGCATTGAGTGGGCGACCTCTCTCTCTCTCCCTCTGTGTGTGTTTTGCTTTACGGGAGCAATGAGAGTGTGTGTGCTGGTCGTCCCACACTTCGGCTTTTTGTTTTCGTTTTATTTTTTTACTTGTGTTGTGGTTGAGTGCACCAATAAACTTTTTTTGTGGATTATTGGGTTGGTTTGACTGCAGACACGTGAATTTTTTTGTTTTCTTTTTTTTCTATTGGTTTTGTTTTTGTTGAGGAAGTGCCAGTCCCTTGTATTCTTGTAAAGCCGTTAAGATTGTCTTTGGCTTATGCCGTGCGTCCGTTGGTCCACGTTAACCCCACGGCCTGCAACGCTACTGGTGCTGTTGTTGATGATGTCTGCGATGTGGTTTGTCAGCGGATGGGTTGCTTTGTTGTCCCCCTGAAGTATTTCTGATTCTTTGACGATGTGGTGCGCTCCCACAGCAAGTTTTATCTTGGTTACGGTGGGGAAAATGCATCTCAGGGCGCAGGACGCGTTACAGTTGTGCAGCGGCGTCTGGAAGGACCCGTGGGTGCCCGTCCGCATTAAGGCGTCAACAAGGGACTTGGATGGCAGCAGGAAGCACTGCGTCTTCTCCCGGTCTCACGCAATGAATTTATTGAATGAAAATCGCCACTGTGAGGATGGTGTTTTATCCTTTGCGCACGGTAATATCCTTGCCGAGGAGACTGTCCCTGCTGCTGTGTAACCGCATGCGGATCGTCTGCTCGTCCGGCGAATGGAGGGTCCGTTGATTGTGCCCCCATTTGCCACGGGCAGCGTTTGCAGTTGGTTCACGGTGCCTGCTTGGCATTGTTCCACTGGTGTTGTCAATGCTAAAACGGTGCTGTACGTGGCTGCAGCGGCGATTGGTGTGTGGGCACTGCCGTGCGCCACGCTGGAGGATGACCGTCCAGTCGCTGGTGCCATGTACTTTCCCGGCCGTTTTATTTCACGAACGCATCGCCGCGCACCTGGTGGTCCATGCTCTCGGGTTTGACTGCCCGCACATGGCCAGCCGCAGCATGGTGATGAACATTGCCTGTGTGCGTGGCAGATTCGACGAACGCCGCGATGGCTGCGAGGGAGCACCACGACTGCGACGACATTGATGGCATGGAACTGCAGGATGGCGATGGTGACGGGAGGACGATGGAGGCGCACTTATCGCAGTGCCACGCGAGGGATGAGTGAATGGCACCGATTGTGGGTGCCGGCGACTGCAGAGGAAGTGTTCTGCAGACAACATGAGTGAATATCCCCACATGCTTTGCGTATTGGGCATTTCTGCCAGACGCTGCGCGTCGGACCGGTATTCCAGTGGTTGGTGTTTGGGAGTATCCATGAAAGCTTAGCCAAGCGTCCGATGGACCGTTGCACCATCACTGATCCCGCACTGGATGTGAGGGATATTGAGGCTGTTATTTGGAGGGGAGAATGTTTGTCTGCGATGCCTGGGGATAAGCCCTCTTCGTGGAATCTGGACACGCCTCCCAACAACACGACGGATGCGAGGAACCCGGAGGAGACACACCTAAGCGTTGCCATGCATGCGGCATTGAGGTGCCTCGGCATGCGGGTGCATCTGGAAGTGACTGAAAAGGGTAACGCCCGTTGTGCCCCATGCACGGCCGAGGCGACGATTGCGTGGGCCACTCGACCCTACGCTGAGGGAAACGTTATTTGCCGTGACCACGCGCAGGTGTGCACGATATCCGCCACCAGCGGCAGCCTACTTCCAGTGATTCCGTGGGACGGCGAGGAGAGAGTGTGTGGAGCAGGACGGTTTCACCGGCATCTACTGAACAGGGATTGCCAGGGGGCATCCGTCCCCGTTGCGGAGAGCATTGAGACCGGCCGTGGAAAACCATCAAGGGACTTAGACACGGCTGCTCCCCAGAAGCATCCGTCGCCGGAGGAGAGGGAAGTTGCCTCAGGTGCCACGATGGCAACGGTGTGATCTTGCCCAGCGACACCGCGGGTGCGCTGCAGGAGGCGGAGAAGAGCGATCATCCGGACAATGACGGTTTGGCTGCCGATGGTGTGACGTCCGTTGTGGGACAATCATTAGGAGATGAGGCCGTCAGCGACAAGGCCGGTGGCGGTGCCACAGCCACGGGACCCAAGAGCCCTGATGCCGCTGATGCCGCGCAGGGCGCCGTGGACCCTCCGCCGAGGGAGGATGATGCGGCGGTGGCGCGCGGGGGTTGGGAGGCTGACATGAAGGAAGCCCCGCCTCCGATCCACGGCAATAACGCTGCGGCGGCTGATTTTCCCCGTCCGCTGCTTCTTCTGCTTGCCGCTACCGCCGCGGTGCCAACGCTCAGCATTGGCTGCAATAGAGAAAGGCCTATATCAATTGGCAGTTTCCTCTCAGTACATACATTTATATGCTTGCCTGTATAATTTTTACCAGGGACATGCTGTATGCATTCTTTCCCTTTTGTGTTGATCGCTAATGTGGCGGTACCACGCGTGTTTTAATGGGTTTTGGGATAACAATTTGTTTGACTTTTTCTGGAAAATGCTTTGGGTGCGTGTTCTTCTGCGAGGGATCTGTGTGGTTTTGACCCCATTATTTTTATTTATTTGCTTTGGCATTGTGTAATGATGCTTCACTTCTCCCATTATGTGTGTTCTGAAGTGTTTCTAGGGCACCGGAAGTGGATGCCTGTGGACGCACGCCGTGGATTATGCGCTACATTGGTGGGAGGGGAGACTGACATAGTTGGCGGGATTCAGTAAGGCGCATTTTTGCCCACGGACCCTGCAGTTGCAGCAGCCTGAGTGGCGCTTTGCATATGGACGTGTGGATTGGTTTTCTTTTGCGAGGATTTTTTCACTGCTTGTCATTCTCCGCTCGGGTACCGTGGCAGCAGCGGCGGCACCAAAAGGGCTGTGTGCGTCGAGAGTCCTTGATTGAGTGCCTGTCTTACTTCTCTGTTTTGTTGATTGATTGTACCGTGTGCGGGCCAAACGGTTGACATGACGTTCTTCTGACGGCGGGGTCCACGTGACATGATGTTGCGTCGCGTGCTTTGTTGCGGGTGTGTGATTTCAGCAACGGTTTTTGGGCGGTTGACTGTTGGGTCGTTGAGGGCGGCGTGGCGACGGGTGTGGATGGACCCGATTGTGTGCCGTGGCTGTTCGTGCGGGGGAGCCGCGGGAAGGAGGAAGGCGGCGGAGCGATGGGCTCACGAGGAGTGCGGTAGCGTGCAGCCATGAAGATTGGCGACAGGGAACTCACTGCCGCTGTGAGTTGCCGTGTGTGGTGTTTGTTTCTGTTATTATTAATTTGCGTTGTTGGATGTGGCCGCTGTGGGGGAAGACTTTTTTTTTGCTTTTTTTTTCACGCCGGTTTGGGATCCTTTTCTTCACCGGCATCACTGTGTTCTTGCCGTACTGTTGCGCCCTCTTTCCCGTCAATTTTTGGGGCAGCTGTGGGTGGGTTTTACATGCCGTGGAGTTGTGTGCCGTGCTGTCCGGTGCTTCATTGTTGCCTGTTCTTCCTGCGTGCACGCGTCTCCCATGCTCGTGACAACAACCCTCATGCAAACGCCGCCCCTTCTCTCCATGCTGCCGCCGCTGATGCGTTTGTGTTTTCTTCTCATCCTCCTCTTTTTGCCCCTCCCTAGACTGTGTGTGCAGCCGTGATGATGATGACGATGACTGGCCGTGTGCTGCTGGTGTGTGCCCTCTGCGTGCTGTGGTGCGGTGCCGGCGGTGGTGGATGTTCTGAAACACCTTCGGTTATTTCGGGTAATGCGTCCGACGAGAACACTCAAAAAGAGAAAGAAATGACCGTCGTTGGCGGTGAAGAAGGTGAACAAGAAAGTAAACAGGCAGCGCCACAAGCAACGTCGTCACCAACGGGGTCAGGATTACGGGGAGTGCCAGTGAATCCGCCACAGACAACACAACCCGGAGGAGAAGCATCAGATCCGGCAAATACAACGAAGGACAACAAGGATCAAAATAAAAAAGATAAAAAGGAGGAAAAAGAAGAGAAGAAGGAAAACCAAGATGAAGAAGAAGATGATAAGAATGAAGAGGAAGGGAAGGATGAAGACAAGGATGATGTCAAGGAGGAGGATGGAGAAGAGGAAAAAAAGGAAGAAGATGAGGAAGAAGATTATATCAGCACCACAATGGGGATGTCAGCAGGCAATCAAGAGCAGCCAATTTTATCTTCTCGTGTGGAAGAAGCATCGAACAAAACAAAACCCCAAAGCACTCAAACAACTGGCGACAAAGACCCAACTACTGATGGTGCAGGGACACAAGAAGAAAAACAAAATGAAAATAAAGAAACCAATCCGAAGGAAAAAGCAGTCGAAGCCACAGCCATGAAAACTACAGCGGCGACGACTGGCGACAGTGACGGCAGCACCGCGGTCTCCCACACCACCTCCCCTCTTTTGCTTCCTCTTCTTGTTGCGTGTGCTGCTGCGGTGGTGGCCGCGTGAGAGTGAGGGAGAGAGAGCCATGCACCGCCCGCACACACACTCGTCCTTCTCTCTCTCTCTGTGTGTGTGTCCCCTTGCATGGACTCTCGCCCTCACCTCACCCCACGAGGCACACACATAATGTGCCCATTGTATATATGCATGCACACCCATGCAGGCCGTTGGTGCTCTCTTTTGCACGACACGCACCGCCGCCGTCCTGCCTGGCTGCATGGGCGGAGCACCGTAACTGTTTCTGTTTCTGTTTCCATTGCATTGAGTGGGCGACCTCTCTCTCTCTCCCTCTGTGTGTGTGTTTTGCTTTACGGGAGCAATGAGAGTGTGTGCGCTGGTCGTCCCACGCTTCGGCTTTTTGTTTTTTTTGTTTTATTGTCATTTTTTTAAAAAATTTTTGTTTGCTTTAAATTTTTGCTACTCGTTTTTTTCTGTTTTGTTGTTTTAATGTTTTACTCTTTTTTTTCTTTTTTTTGCTTTCGGGGGGCAATCACTGTGGACGTTTTTTCTTTTCTATTCTTCCCTCCTTTAATTGTTTCTTCCGCACTCCTCCTGTGAGGGGTGCCGTGTGTTTCCGCCCAACTGCTCCACTCGCACACCACCGACACGCTCATGACGACGGCCCTGTGCGCCTCGCCTGCTGCGCGCATGAGGAGGGGCCGCGACGAACGGCGCGCTGAGGGAGCCGTGACGTGTGGGCGTGCGACGAGGGCCTGTGGGGCGGAGCACACATTTCTTTCCCTCTTGTTTTGTTTTGTTTTTTTGCGGCCAGGGCGGGCAGACACCCGCAGCGCCACACGCACAGCCACACCCTGCCGCCGTGTTTTTTTTTGTTTTTGTCGATGGGTGTGTGCTGCCACCGTGCGTGATTGTTGAGGTTGGGGCCGTGTCGCATGTATCGCTGCCATCCAGCTGTGCCTTTTGCTGTGTTGATGTGCCTCCCTGTGCTCCTCTTTTTTTTGATTCTCCAACAGACACCCACACACAGAAGTAGTTGCACAGTGCTCTGCAAGAATGTATTTGCACTGCCGGGTGCATGCGTTGCTTGGTGTGTGCTGGCGCGTGATGGACGCTGCACGATGGTCTCCTCCGGCGATGACAGTCGCTGTGTTCTCGGCAAACATCCACACTCTCCTCCTTGTCTCTCTGTGAGAATGAGTGCAGCAGGAGCGTCGTCTATGGCAGCGGCTGTTGGTGCTGCGGAGAGGAACGAGGGGCCGAAGGAGCAGAAGAAGCCGTACCCGCTGGACGCGACTACGATGGCGGATGAAAACTGTTTCGTTGCCTTTGCTTCGTACATTGCTAAGAATGCGCCGTGTCGCCGCCTGACGGGATGCCTGCACTCGGCACACTTCGAGGCATTGTTTTGTTTCATTCAGTGTGATGTCACAATCATCATGGCAGCACCTTCCCTCACCGGCTCTGAGTGTGACAATACGAACGACAGCAAAGGGAGCGATGAGGATTGTGGTGACGATTTGCACCGAGGGGCGGATTATCTGCGTGTCTTGGCACACGAATCCCAGGAGGGTTTGAATGCCGTCCCCACAATTCCCGGCCTTGCGCAACCGTTGGCTTTCGCGCCGTCACCCGCCGTAATTAGTGTCCCATGCGTTGAGGCTGATCCATTTGCCGTGGAGTTCACGCAGCAGCTCTCGAGTGTTTGTGCTGCTGATCCCGCGTTGGCCCTTTCGCATGTATCTCAGCGTTGCCTGGCGTGTGATTTGTTGTGTGTGTTGTCCAGGCCGCCGCCTCCAGTTTTCTATTGGTGCCCAATAAGAAACACTTTGCGTTGCGGTGGATATTTATTTGCGTGGCCGTCGACGCACGTGACGCTGCTCAACGGGTGTGTCTTTTGTTTGGCGGGCACGAGGGAGACTTCGGTGTGTGTCGACACCACCGCGAAAGTCTTCGTCGACGGATGGAGGCGAAAATAAGGGAGGTCTGTCCGCCGCATCTCTCAAGGCAGCTGCGAGGCACTCCGGACGCACAGAGTGGAAGAATGGATGCCGCGCAGCTGGGGAGACCAGTTGTCTTCTCCGCCCTTCGTTGCCGGGGAATCGATAATCCACAGCGTCGCTGCCAGCTGCATTTTACTGCTGGGGATCGACTGTTCTGAAGTCGCCCGTCTGATGTGAATCGCAGCGTCAGTGCAGGAAGACGCTTTCACGCGTTGCGAGTAGTTGCTCCAGCCTCGAGCTCATCAATATTTACAGCGGGGAGCAATGCACTTTGGTGGCCGGTGACGTTCAGGCGAGTGTGTTTCACTTCACCCGCCTCGTATTTGTGGGGGACACTGCGCATCGACCCTCCCCAACAGTCCCACCACCTTCACTTTGCCCCGCTGCTCGCTGCCCTCTGCTGACGGTACAGTTGTTTGGCTCCAAAAATAATGCACTCATGAAACTTCCTCTCCGCACGCTGCGGGATTATTGCCGTGGAGGCGTTGATGTCATGTGGTGCGGGTGTGGCGTCGACAGAGTCATCCACGCATTGTCTTAGAAGCGTTACTTTGAGTCGTGTCAGTCACGCCGTGTTTCCCTTTTTTCTTGCCGGGAGTCTTGTGTTTGTGCTTGAGCCCTTTAGGAGCTTGTGCAGAGAATGATCGCGGGAGAGCTGGCTGCCTTAGTGAATGTGTATATATACACCCTGACAAAACGAATATACACTTCTGCACGACACTTTTCTGCCGTATGAGTTTTGGGAGGCCACGACTTTAGGGAGCCGACAGCGGCCGGATAATTTTTTCTTTTATTTTGCCATCGCACCCACCCCCTTTTGATTCCACCACGCGGCGGGGTCTTGTGGCTGCAGGACCCCAAAAGCCTGCCACCTCGTAAGTAATAAATAAATACATGTATCCCATCCGAATAGAGTGCAGTATGTCACGATTGTGGCTGACGGATGGTATATAAACATACAGTCACCTGGTGTTAGGCCTTTGAGGATGTGGTGAATCCACTCTTATTCCGTTGATCCCTCACTTATTTCTATCGTGTTTGGTTTTTATTGAGAAGCTCAGGATTCGGCCAGCGGCCCGGAAGATTATTCTTTATTGCAGCACTTTGCCAACGAGAAGCAGGAACAACACAAACCGAATTATTGGCTGCACCAACACAAGAAACATTCACAAGAGGGAAAAAAATAAATAATGGTGCACCCCGCAGAAATCCCCAACACACGACCCAGGCATGAGGGTTTGCCCTCTGGAAAAACAAAAACGAAAACAAAAAACGCATGCAGACATCTTCCAAGATCCAAACAGAAACGCAAATAAATGATTGCTTGCATTATGCCATTCTCTGCGTTTATTTTTGCGTGTGTTGCTGCTGCTGCTGTGGTGGCTTCCAGGCCTGCATGAAGTGGTGTGCGCCGAATATGAACGAGGGCCGAGGGCAACTGAACTGTTTTTGTGATGACTATTGGCTGCACTTCCCGTGGGCCAACAATTCACGTGGTGTGCGGGGATCTCCTTTTTGTATTGTTACTTTGCTTTTGTGTTGCTGTGTGCGCTGCACCTCCTCTTGTGTGTGTGTTTACCCTCCGTGAGGGGTGCCGACACGACGGACGGCTCTCGCCGTGTGTGCATGCGGTGGAGCCTTGTGTGTGTGTTGTTTTTTTTAATTTTTGCTTTTTACGTTTTAGAGCTTCCGGCTTGCAGGGCGGCGTTTGAGGTTTGCAATTGTACAGATTCCATCTGTCTCATTTTTGTGTGCGTTGCTGTTATATTTTACTGTGCGTGACTTTCATTCATGGATGGAAAAGTGTGCGTGGCTGTGGTCGTGTATCCCCTTTTGCTTTTACTCTGCGTTGACGGGGCGTTAGTTTGTGCTGAAGGCTACACGCAAGTGACAGGAGTGATGGCGATGATGACTGGCCGTGTGCTGCTGGTGTGTGCCCTCTGCGTGCTGTGGTGCGGTGCCGGTGGTAGATGTGACGAGGAAATGGAAGCTGCTGCCGGTGGTGCTGGAGGTGGGATTGCTGGTAAAGGTGCGGTGGAGCCTGCTGGAACTTCAACGCCAGCAGCAGACAGCTCAAGTCTAACAAAAGGTTTGCCCAGGGTTAATCAATCAAAAGAAACCCGTGGAGTAAAACCTTTGGAAGTAAAAGAAGTTAATGCTGATCAACAGGATGTTGTTCCTGGAGTGGAGGATGAAGATGGAATCCCTTCAGAGCAATTAGAAGAAACTGTGAACGCTGGTCCAGGAAAAGAAAATACAAAGACGCAATTAAAAAACGTAGGACAAGAAGTACGGCAACCGCCAGAAGCGCAATTCAATTTACCACAGCAACCGCAGCCACAAACTCCTGCTTCAGAAAAGGGTGAAGGTGCTGGCGAGAACAATAAGGGTGGAGCAGGTCAGCCCTCATTGGGAGTACAAGATATTGGAAACGAGGATTCAAAGGCCCTCGGGAAAGGAGACTTATTAAAGAGTCCAGGTAAAGAATCAGAAAGCAGTGAACAGGTCCAAACGACAGTGCAAAAGACAGTACCGCCGGAGCACAAAACCCAAAATGAAGTGTTAACTTCGGAACAAAAGACGAATGAAAGCCAAAGCACGGATACATCCAACAACCTACCCGAAACACAAAAGGAAAATAAAGAATACCCTGCCTCTACGAAAGGTACGGCGCAGAGTACATCAATTGGCAGTCAAGAACAAGAAGCTGAGCCATCTACAAGCGAAGAGCCTTCCCCTTTTGAGGAGCAACAATTCACAGGGACGAACACAACTGAGGATGCTCGAACTCCGGATGCTGCAGCGACAGAAAAAAGCCAAAGTGTAAATAAAGAAACGGCTGGCGAAAGTGACGGCAGCACCGCGGTCTCCCACACCACCTCCCCTCTTCTGCTTCTTCTTTTTGTTGCGTGTGCTGCTGCGGTGGTGGCCGCGTGAGAGTGAGGGAGAGAGAGCCGTGCACCGCCCGCACACACACTCGTCCTTCTCTCTCTGTGTGTGTCCCCTTGCATGGACTCTCGCCCTCACCTCACCCCACGAGGCACACACATAATGTGCCCATTGTATATATGCATGCACACCCATGCAGGCCCGTTGGTGCTCTCTTTTGCACGACACGCACCGCTGCCGTCCTGCCTGGCTGCATGGGCGGAGCACCGTAACTGTTTCTGTTTCTGTTTTTATTGCATTGAGTGGGCGACCTCCCTCTCTCTCTCCCTGTGTGTGTGTTTTGCTTTACGGGAGCAATGAGAGTGTGTGTGCTGGTCGCCCCACGCTTTTTTTAATTGTTTTATTGTTTTACTTGTGTTGTGGTTGAGTGCACGCATTATCCTTGTTTTTAGATTGTTGGCATGCTTTGACTGCGGTCACGTGATTTTTCTTTTTTCCTTATTTTTTTTTTCGAGATATTGTGAGTGTTTCCTATTCTTCTCAAGCCATTAAATGATTTGTGTCACAGCATGCGGCAGTTGATCCACGTTGCCCCACGGTCTGCAGTGCTGCTGGTGCTGCTGGTTGTGATGATGTTTGTGATGTGTTGTGCCAGCGGGTGCTTTGCTACCAGCCTGACGTACTCCTGCTTCTCTGACAAGGCGATGCGTGCCCACAGGGCGAAGTCGATCCCGGCTGTGGTGAGGGACGTGCCTCTTGGATCTGAGGGTGCGTCGCAGACATGCACCGTCATTGGGAGGAATGGATGGGCGCCCACCCGCATCAATGTGTCGACAAGGGACCTGGATGGCACCAGGAAGTATTGCAGCTCAGAGCGGTATTGCGCAATGAATTCATTGGTGGCAATTGCGAGTGTGAAGGTGACGTTTTTCTATGCTGAGGAAAGGGAAGCATTTGTTTCGTTATACTTTGCAGCCACTGTTCGTTAATGGCCTGCGGGCTGTCCGTAGCGATGTGGCCAGTTTTTCCCTCTTGAACGGTGCTGTCGTGCGAGAGGGTGGTGTTTCCAAATAGTCGGATGCTCATTGGTGGGATTGGGGGCATTCCCACAGCGTGTGCGGCAGGGCCTCCCGTGGATTGTCGCGGTTCAGCGGCTGGTGGGGATTGCAGCAGAGGAGTGGCTGAAGGGCTACGGCTGTCATTGGAGCCTGCAGAGGTGCGTTGTCCGTTTTTTGCTCGTTGATACGCTTGGCATTTTCGGTAGTGACCTGCGCGTGAGGCACCTGTCGGGGAGACCGTGGAGCCGTCGCAGAATCCACATGTGAGGCCTTCTGCAACGATTGGAGTGCCGGGGTTATTGCGTCGGCCGTGTGCCTTCATATTGTGGACGGAAGAGGAGACGCTGCTGCAGCTTGGGCAGGGCGACGTTGATCCGCTGCTCGTCGTTCTACGAGGAGGTGCCGTAGACACGCCAGGTGGAGGTTCCGGAGGAGGTCGGGGCGGTCCTGTCTCTTCAGTGTGGGGAAGGGACGGCAGCACCGACACAGAGGGTTGCCTGTGATCCGCAGGGCGCGTGCCGGTCTGCCGAGGGGTGGGTAGGAGTCGCATTGTATCTGCGCACAAAGTCGTGATTCGATGCCCGATGGCTGCCTGCACATCAGGAAGACAGCCCTTGCCACACCGACGAGCGCCTGGCGTGCGGTGTGTGCGAATTCTTCTTCCTCCTGGAATTCCTTCCAGTACAACACCTTGACGGCGGCAAGGAATTCCACGTGCCAGATGGGGATGCCTCATTGCTGCAGGGATCGTGCAATCGTGGCTTCTTCGTCAGCGGCCTCAGTGCGTGGGGCGCTGCAGTGCGATGGGGGAAATATGAGGTGTGCGGGGTGAACTCGCTTCACCAAGGAAAGCAGCATAGCCCAAATCTCTTGAGCAACGCAGTCACGCACGGCCAGTGGGGCAGCGCGGAGTGCCTCAGTTGCCGACAGGGAGTCGGTTGACACCGGGGTTTGTGTGGACGATTGGGATGTTTCCGGACGAGGAGGTATGAGATGTCTAAAGCCAATTTTCAGTGGCATGGCACTCTGCTCCCTATGAGCGTGCGAGTATGCCGGCTGCTGCACGATGGACCTCCACAGGGAGACCATTTGTCTTTGTGGAGCCGTATAATGGTGCAGCGGATCCAGATGCAAGTTCGGCGAGTGATGAAGAACCGTCCGCCCATAATTCAAAATCGTAATCTCCTTAGAAAAAGTAAATTGAATCAAAAGCCGTGCGCTTGACATCGTCAGAGGCGTCGTTGGCAAAGGGTGGCCGATAATATTCCACGTTATTGCAGCCCACGGCGTCCCTGGGAATAATTCGATGTTGGGTAATAGGAGGAGCGTGATTGTGGTTGCGTGGTATCCCAATAGTGCCGCATGCACGTTCTAATCCATTAATAACGGCATCTCTCGGAAGTGGGATTGATGTCGCCGCTTTCCTATGCATGGACAGCGGCACAGGTTCCGAGTGGATAAGGGAACTCAAATCCTCGTGATCATGGAAACGTGCATGGCGTTTGTGTTGATTGGTGTCGCGGAGCCAGAGTATCTTCCGGAGCGGGAGAAGATTGGCTTTCAATTAGACAGATGCATCTTCCGTTGGTGCACTGATGCCAAGGTGTGTTTTACAACTGTTGCGGTACAGGACCTTCCATATTATGGAGGCAGGTGTGGGCAAGGCATGGGACAATTGCATCGCCATAATACAGTGACACACCATGGACGGATCCAATCGAAAAGGATTGCATAGTGTGATGGAACGCACCAGCCTGTGCGACCGGTCGCAATTGGTAGCGGCGTGGCATGGTCTGCTTTGCAGCGGTGGAAGCGTGCGGACCAAAATTAAGGAGTTGATCGAACGTGGTGTCCAGTAGGCGCACTGGGCGGGACTGAATACGTAGGTTCCTATTGCCAGGAAGGAGATCGACCATTTCCTCTTCAGACCGTGTGTGTGAAGAGATGTGGAATAGAGCAGCTTCGCTCTTATCATCGTTGATTTTTAGGTTGTGCTCGGCAGCCCATGTCGTTGTAAGTGACAGGACCGGTTGCATTGCCGCAGCAGATGCATGGATGTCCGCACCTGAGGCAACAATTTTGAGGTTGTCAGTGTACATGAATGCGGCGGCAGGATAGCTGTTGCCCAGGCGGTGCAGCACATCACACACAGTGGAGGAAGAGTTTGGTCCCGGGACGCTGCCTTGTGGTGCTCCAGTTGAGGCGAGTTGTTTCCGGGAGTGCTGTTCGCGAGTGCATACTCTAACATAGCGGCCCCGCAGGTAGTTATGCAGCCGACGTTCGGTTTGGGGCCAAGGCGCGGGAGTCTGTCAAGCATGCCGAATAACTTCCCATGGTCAACGGTGTCGAAAGCAGTCAAAAAATCAATCGAGGCCACGAGCGAGCGATGGTGACGAGGGTGGCGTGTGGGAGCGCCGCCTCCAGGGCGCGCATACTCCACAATGCCAAACTCATTCAATTTACGGGTAATTTTACCAATAACAATTGTCACAACGTCCGATTTTGAACGCGAAGGTGTGAACCCGAATTGACGTGGGCGGTGCGGCAATAACGCTGATAGACGGCGGTGAATCATTCCTTCGGTTTAGTGAAAAAGAGAGCAGCGTGGTAGGTCTGTAACTCACTGGGCGGCATGAATCCTTCCCAGGTTGGGGAATGGGAATGGTGTCCACCGTATTCCAGGAGCCAGGCAGGCTGCCATTTGCGAAGGAGTTGTGGATCATCGTTCTAAGAGGGCCGCGCGCAACGGGCCCGAGATGGTGCATGAACTCATTCAACATGTTGTTCTGGCCAGGGACTGAGCCGAGCGAAGAGTCGCGGAAGGCCACGTCAAGTACATACGGCGTGAGAGGCCGACCCATTTCCCGGTCACCAAGGGGCAATGGAGCGCGGCGAGCAGCAGTATAATGTAATGTGGCACGTGAAACCGCACAAAATGATGGACGAGGAGATTTGTCTGTTGCCGAGGCGGAGCGCAGACGCGGTCCGAGGATCAGTTCGGAGCACCACTGATTCCAGGGGATGAGGGTGCGGCGCCGCCACGCCGCGGAGATATCGCCAGCTCGGGCTGGATGAAGCCCCAAGTTCTTCCGCGCGGGCTTCCAGAAGCATAGCGAAGCCACGGCGTAATGTTTGATTTTAGTCCTCCACTTTTTGGATGAATTCGGCTCGAAGCAGGCTGTCTCCTGGCGAGGCGATGTGTGTGCTTTGTGTGCTGCTTTGGCGGCGGGCTCGGCTTGTTCCATTTCGTTCGTCCAGATTGTTTTGGGCTGTCGCGGCTGCCGCGCGGGATATGGCGCTCAGCTGCTCGTAAGATACCACTGCGAATTTCCAGACATGTGGACGCGGCGGCAAGGAGTGTTTCACACAACGATGTAAAAGCAGGCCAGTCCGCTTTGCGCAGGGCAAAAGTGGCTTTCTCCCGCCGAGGCAGCGTGTTGGCTAGTCGCGGAGTGCCATCATCCATCCACACCGAGTAAGATATTAAGCAGTGGTCCGAATCCATGTAGGGGGTAGATTGCCAGCGGGTGACACGCAGTACGCGATACGAAGCCACGTCAGGGAATGAGACATTACGATTTGTGATCCGCGTTGCCTGCGCCGGGTCATTTGCCAGCCCGAAATCCATATCAATTAAAGTAGAGGACAAATCCTCTCCTCCAGTCGTTGAAGGTGTATGACTGTCCCAGAGTCCATGATGTAAATTCAGTTCACCCGCGATCATCGCTGCGGGCCTGAGCGACGAATGGCAGTAATAAACGAAGAGCTCTGAACGGTTGCTGTGCGAGGGCTGTAGAGATTCACCACGCAGATGCTGGGACGGCCCTGTGGAGGTGCACGGACAGCAACGGTCTCCAGGCAGTTTGTGCCAGGGAGCGTCAGGCGCTCGCACGGTAGAGAGTGGCGCACCGGAACAGCAACGCCACCACCGCGCCCAGTGCGGCCTGAAAAAAGCTATTATGGCCGGTTAGTTTTGCCGCTGTGGCACTTTGAGTATTTGTTTCCTGGAGAAGAACGATGTCAGGTGGATGCTGCTCTAGTCGCGCAGCAGATGCAATCTTTTTTATGGACGAGAGGCCTGCAATGTTGAGCTGCCAATTAGTGATGAAGCCATCCTCCTCGGTCCAGGGTTCTTGTGGACGTCACCGCCACGGGTGATATCAACGGAGTGGCCGCAGCGAAACGGCCGTGCAGTTTTGCCCGACAGTCTGCAGGCAGACCGCTTCACCTCCCGCACCGGGCATGGCGTGGAACCTTCTCGAGGGGTGGAGTCGTCTTGGTCTCCGTTGTGCTCGCCGCAACGCACCGCATCGAAGTTCCTATATGCAACCAGAGCCCCAGCACCGCGACAAGGTGCGACTTCATCGCTGGGGCTTACCGAATGTTGTAAAGGACCTCATTTTATATCTTTTTGCTTTTTTCTTTTTTTTGCTGCCTGTGTTTTATTGGAATAATAGTTATCTTTGTGTTTTCCCAATGGCTGTTTGACTGCTGCACACTGTAATGAGCGACGTGTTTCCCGCTCTTGTTTTCTTTTTTGTCCAGTCGCTGTGCCGGCCTCACTGCTGTGTGTCCCACGGAATGCACGTACGAGGAGCGGAGGAACAGGCCGGATGCCGGATGAAATATGAGGGATTTTGTGTGGACTCGTGGAGCAGCAAGATCTCTTTTTTTCTCATATTATTTTCTGCTATTTTTCGCGGGGAAGATGTATACACAAACACACGGTCATCTATTATTGTGCTGCATGGCACATGAAATAAAATTGCGACCTAATCTATTTTATTCATCCTTTCCGGGAGTCTTGCCGGACTCTTGACTTTTTTTTAAAATTTCTGATTTTCGGGGCGGTGTGTGTTTTTTTCTTTCCCACTGATTCAAACCGCCTCATGGTGTGTGCAAATTGCCATAATTTGTCCTGTGCGTGGCTGAATACCTTTTCTCTTCTTTTCACTCTGCGTTGACGGGGAGTTAGTTTGTGCTGAAGGCTGCACGCAAGTGACGGGAGTGATGGCGATGATGAGTGGTCGTGTGCTGCTGGTGTGTGCCCTCTGCGTGCTGTGGTGCGGTGCCGGCGGTAGATGTGACGAGGAGGGGACGGCAGGTCATGGTGTTCAACCCGGTGTTTCTGCGAGTGGTGGTTCTGGAGCCCCCGACAATGCCAGCGGTCAAACGGCGTCTGGTGTAGCGGTAAAACCTTCCGCAGAGCAAACGCAGCTGAGGAAAGCTGAGGATTCCGCACCCGGATCCCCGCAATCGCAAGCTGATTTACAGAATCAATCGTCTACAATACAGCGGACACCATCCAGCTCCGAAAATGCGGTTCCATCGACACATTCGAAACCATCGGGAGAACAGATGCAAGATTTACCAGAAGAAGTTCCACCAGGGAAACCGGAGATTTTATCCAGTCAAGAGGAGGGGAAGAATGAAACAATTGCAAATCAACAGAGTATTGATCCGCCATCTCATTCAGGTAACAACGATGTTGTCGGCCGTAATAGTGGGGAACGCACTGACGATACTCCGAGCAGTACTGAAATTATTGATGCCGCACCGTCAGAAGAGGTGCAGGAGCGTGAAAAAGTCACTCCTTCCTTGGAACAACCTCAGGAAACTTCCACAGCCGCACCGGCCATTACCACTCAAACAACCTCCATGACGCCGCCTAAAGACGGTGAAAACAGCAGCGTCAAAATGAGTGATGCATCACCCCATTCAACAGTCACCGTCACTCAAACAAATCATACGGCGACGATTACACAAAACAGTGACAGCAGCACCGCGGTCTTCCACTGCACCTCCCCTCTTTTGCTTCTTCTTGTTGTTGCGTGTGCGGCTGCGGCTGCGGTGGTGGCCGCGTGAGAGTGAGTGTGAGAGAGCCGTGCACCGCCCGCACACACACTCTTCCTTCTCTCTCTGTGTGTGTGTCCCCTTGCATGGACTCTCGCCCTCACCTCACCCCACGAGACACACACATAATGTGCCCATTGTATATATGCATGCACACCCATGCAGGCCCGTTGGTGCTCTCTTTTGCACGACACGCACCGCTGCCGTCCTGCCTGGCTGCATGGGCGGAGCACCGTAACTGTTTCTGTTTTGTTTTTATTGCATTGAGTGGGCGACCTCTCTCTCTCTCTCCCTCTGTGTGTGTGTTTTGCTTTACGGGAGCAATGAGAGTGTGTGCGCTGGTCGTCCCACGCTTCGGCTTTTTGTTTCTTTTATTGTTTTACTTGTGTTGTGGTTGGATAGGCATACTCCCATTACGCTTCATTTTTTTGTGTGTGGTGACGCCTGCATGTTTCTTTTTGTATGCGATTGTTTCTTTGGTGTTTTTATTTTGATTTTGGTGCTTTGTTTTAATAATGCTTTTCTTTTTCAATTGTTGAAGATGTACACTTTCATGAGTGACGTGTTTCCCCTTTTGTTTTCTTTTTTCTGCCCACACACGGTGCCGGCCTCATTGCTGTGCGTCCCACGGGCTGCACGAAAGGAGGATTGGAGGAACAGGCCGGATGCCGCAATGAAGTGTGAGGGATGTTGTGTGGGCTGGTGGAACAGGACGATCTTTTTTGTTTGTGCAGGCAATATGTATATACACAAACACACGGTCGTTTCTATTGCGCTGCATGGCAAATGAAATAAAATTTCTGTCCGATTGATTTTTTATGTTTCACCCCTGGAGTTCTGCTGGACTCCCATCATTTTTTTTCTTTTTTTGTTTTTTTTCCGCCTTTTTAAGTTTTGGTTTGCGTGGCGGTGTGTGAGTTCTGCGGTTGTAATGATCCCATCTGTCTTTTTGGTGTGCGCTTCTTCTGACTGCTGCCATTTATTACCATGCGGTGGCTGTGCGTGGTGTAGCTGCTGTCTCTCTCCCTTTGCTTTCTCATGCTCTTGCAGATCGAATCCACGTTATTCAACAACGAAAGTTTTGACGATAATGCGCCGTGTGTTTTGTGTCGTGTTGGCGTTTGCAATGCTTTGCTGCTGCTCATGCGTGTTTGCCGCGAAGGAAGTGGAGGAGCAAGAGCAGGAGGTGACGCAGGTGAATGCAGAGTGTGCGGGTGACGGTAATGTTGCGCGTTGGCAGCTCCCTGGGAAGCCATTGTGGTACAACTGCACGGATGCAGCCGTTGATTTTGGGCAGATGATTTGCGACATGGGCGTCGGAAACTGTGCGCCCGAGGATGTTAAGAAACGTATAGAAGATGGTGCGGAGCATGGTGTCTTCACGATCAACGTCTCCACGTTTACTTTAAGCGCGGTGAAGAGTTGGTGGGAGAGTAACGTAGAGAAGGATGTCATCGTTGCAAGTGTTCCGGCTAAACCTCCTGCAGCACGTACTCCGGGCCCTCAAGAAGACAAGGCTCCCGGTGACGCCTCCAAAAAAAATTCAGAATCTCCTACTGCTGGCGCTGCGGGTGCGGCTGGTGCCCCTTCACCGGCTGAAGCTCCGAGTGACTCTGGTGAAATTGGTCCGGCCACACCTTTGGAAGCAGAACCTCCGAGCCCTCAAGAAGACAAGATTTCTCGTGAAACATCTTCCAGACCGGATTCTGAACCTTCTCCTGCTGTCGTCGAGAATTCCGCGGATGTCCCTCCTCCTCCACCTGCAACTCCAGGCGGCGCTGTTGCTGACGCTGCGGCCACGACGGATACTTCTGCTGCAGCCATGGGAGCACTGGATTCCGCCCCCTCTGGTGATCCTCAAAGCCCTTCACATTCTGCCTCTGCTGCTTCTCCTGCACCCGAATCCATACCAGATCCGGAGCCCGCAGAAGGCGGCGGCCACTCCTCCCATGACCCTCCAGTGGAGCTGCAGGAAGAGACTGCTGCCGCGCCACCGACTCAGCTGTCCCAGACCGGCGAGGACGGGGGTGCAGCGGGAGGCGCCGAAGAGGACACCGCCACCACCACCGACACTGCTTCTAGCAAAGGAAATTCTACGGCGGCAAGCATGCCGGCTCCCCTTTCCTCTGCGCCCACAAAGAACGCACTGGAGATCAGTGTGGGAACTGACGCCTGCTTCCATGACACCCGTCTGCATGCCCTGCCACCGCTTGTTCTGGCTGCGCTCACCTACGGGACACTGAACTGAAGAAGTGAATGAGGGCTATAAGTGCCAGCACTCAACCACGGGGATCTGTGAGCTTCTTTTGTTTTATTTCGTGGTAACTAATGGAAAATGATTGTGTGTTTTGCTTCATTTGCTTCTGCTGCTCTGCTGTGTGCTCCACGTTGCTGCTGCCTGTATCCGTCACTTGGCACGCATCCCAGACACACTCGTATGCACGACACGCATACAACTGTTTGCGAGGACGCATGTCTGTGTGAATGCATGTACGCTGGAGCCATTTGTTGTAGCTCCTTCTTCTTTGTTTTTTGTGTTTTTACTTTTCTTTTACTTTCTTTTTTCATGTTGTTGTTTTGTTGCTACTTGTTTTTTGTGTTTATTTTCCTTGTTTTTTACTTCCTTCGGGGCGTTGTGAGTTTTTTTTTCATTTTTTAATGGTTTATTTTCTTTAATTTTTTCTTTTTCTAATCTTTTACTCCCCATACCTTCTCTTTTTTTGCTTTTCGGGGCAGTCACTATGGATGTTTTTTCATTTCTACTCTTCCCTCTTTAATTGTTTGTTGCTGCACTCTTCCTGTGAGGGGTGCCGTGTGTTTCCGCCCAACTGCTCCACTCGCACACCCACCGACACGCTCATGACGACGGCCCTGTGCGCCTCGCCTGCTGCACGCATGAGGAGGGGCCGCGACGAACGGCGCGCTGAGGGAGCCGTGACGTGTGGGCGTGCGACGAGGGCCTGTGGGGCGGAGCACACATTTGTTCCCTCTTGTTTTGTTTTGTTTTTGCGGTCAGGGCGGTCAGACACCCGCAGCGCCACACACACACAGCCACACCCTGCCGCCGTGTTTTTTTTTGTTGTTTTTTGTGGGTGTTTGTTGCCACTGTGTCTGTTGAAATTGGAGCCGTACCGAATGTACCGCTTCCATCCAGCTGTGCCTCTTGCTGTGTTGATGTGTCTCCCTATGCTTCTCTTTTTTTTGTTCCTCGAACTGGCACCCACACATAAGTAGTTGCACAGTGCTCTGCAAGAATGTATTTGCACTGCCGGTTGCGTGCGTTGCTTGGTGTGTGATGACGCGTGACGGACGGTGCCACGATGACCGCCTCTGGCAATGACAGTCGCTGTGTTCTCGGTACACACTTCCACACACTCTCCTCCTTGTCTCTCTGTGAGAATGATTGCAGCAGCAGCGTGGTCTACGGCAGCGGCTGTTGGTGCTGCGGAGAGGGACTATGCGCCGAAGGAGCAGAAGAAGCCGAACCCGCTGGACGAGATTAAGATGGCGTATGAGAGCCTTTTGACGGTCTTTTATCGGGCTTCCTCAGGAGTGCGCCGTGTCGCCTCCTGACGGGATGCCTGCACTCGGCACACTTCGAGGCATTGTCTTGTTTCATTCAGTGTGATGCCACAATCATCATGGCAGCATCTTCCCTCAACGGCTCTGAGTGTGACAATACGAATGACGGCAAAAGGAGAGCGATGAGGATTGTGGTGACGACTTGCACCGAGGGACGGATTATTTGCGTGTCTTGGCACACGAATCCCGGGAGGGTTTGGATGCCGTCCCCACAATTCCCGGCCTTGCGCAACCGTTGGCTTTCGCGCCGTCACCCGCCGTAATTAGTGTCCCATGCGTTGAGGCTGATCCATTTGCCGTGGAGTTCACGCAGCAGCTCTCGAGTGTTTGTGCTGCTGATCCCGCGTTGGCCCTTTCGCATGTATCTCAGCGTTGCCTGGCGTGTGATTTGTTGTGTGTGTTGTCCAGGCCGCCGCCTCCAGTTTTCTATTGGTGCCCAATAAGAAACACTTTGCGTTGCGGTGGATATTTATTTGCGTGGCCGTCGACGCACGTGACGCTGCTCAACGGGTGTGTCTTTTGTTTGGCGGGCACGAGGGAGACTTCGGTGTGTGTCGACACCACCGCGAAAGTCTTCGTCGACGGATGGAGGCGAAAATAAGGGAGGTCTGTCCGCCGCATCTCTCAAGGCAGCTGCGGGGCACTCCGGACGCACAGAGTGAATGGATGGATGCCGCGCAGCTGGGGAGACCAGTTGTCTTCTCCGCCCTTCGTTGCCTGTGGAATCGAGAATCCACAGCGTCGCTGCCAGCTGCATTTTACTGCTGGGGATCGACTGTTCTGAAGTTGCCCGTCTGATGTGAATCGCAGTGTCAGTGCAGGAAGACGCTTTCACGCATTGCGAGTAGTTGCTCCAGCCTCGAGCTCATCAATATTAACAGCGGGGAGCAATGCGTTTTGGTGGCCGGTGACGTTCAGACGAGTGTGTTTCACTTCACCCGCCTCGTATTTGTGGGGGAAACTGTGCATCGACCCTCCCCAACAGTCCCACCACCTTCACATTCCCCTGCCGACCGCTGCCCTCTGCTGACGGTACAGTTGTTTGGCTCCAAAAATAATGCACTCATGAAACTTCCTCTCCGCACGCTGCGGGATTATTGCCGTGGAGGAGCTGATGGCATATGGTGCGTGCGTGGCGTCGACAGAGTCATCCACGCATCGTTTTAGAAACATGACTTTGAGTCGTGTCAGTCACGCCGTGTTTCCCTTTTTTCCTGCTGGGAGTCTTGCGGGTGTGCTTGAGCCCTTTTAGGAGCTTTTGTAGCGAATGATCGCGGGAGAGCTGGCTGCCTTAATGAATGTGTATATATACACCCTGACAAAACGAATGTACACTTCTGCACGACACTTTTCTGCCGTATGAGTTTTGGGAGGCCACGAATTTAGGGAGCCGACAGCGGCCGGATAATTTTTATTTTTACCATCGCACCCACCCCCTTTTGGTTCCCACCACGCGGCGGGGTCTTGTGGCTGCAGGACCCCAAAAGTCTGCCACCTCGTAAGTAATAAATAAATACATGTATCCTACCCGAATAGAGTGAGCGGGCCACGATTGTGGCTGACGGATGGTATATAAACATACAGTCACCTGGTGTTAGGCCTTTGAGGATGTGGTGAATCCACTCTTATTCCGTTGATCCCCCACTTATTTCTATCGTGTTTGGTTTTTATTGAGAAGCTCAGGATTCGGCCAGCGGCCCGGAAGATTATCCTTTATTGCAGCACTTTGCCAACGAGAAGCAGGAACAACACAAACCGAATTATTGGCTGCACCAACACAAGAAACATTCACAAGAGGAAAGAAAACATAATAATTGTGCACCCTGCAGAAATCCCCAACACACGACCCAGTCATGAAGGTTTGCCCTCCGCAAAAACAAAAGGAAACGCATGCAGGCATCTTCCAAGATCCAAACAGAAACGCAAATAAATGGTGGCTTGCTTTATTCCATTCTCTGCGTTTATTTTTGCGTGTGTTGCTGCTGCTGCTGTGGTGCCTGGGTCTGCATGAAGTGGTGTGTGCTGAATATGAACGAGGGTCGATGGCAACTGAATTGTTTTTGTGATGAATATTGGCTGCGCTTCCCGTGGGCCAACAATCCACGTGGTGTGCGGGGATCATTCCTTTTCTTATTGTTACTCTGCTTTTGTGTTGCTGTGTGCGCTGCACCTCCTCTTGTGTGTGCGTACCCTCCGTGAGGGGTGCCGACACGACGGACCGCTCTCGCGGTATGTGCATGCGGTGGAGCCTTGTGTGCCGCTCCTGTTTGCTTCTCCCTCCTCCATCTGTGTGTTGGTGTTGCGGCAGGGCTGTGTGTGTGTGTGCGTGTTGCCGTGGATTGGAGTGTGTGTCGTGCGTGGTGTGCGGCGTACGGTGCATGCCTGACTGCTGCCCTCTCCTCATGTGGATTGCCCTCTGTGTGTGTCTGCCGCACCTCTCGTCTCCCCTGTTGCTCTCCATGTCCCTCACTGTGCAGATCAGCTCCACACCACTGAACGACCACACTCACGATGATGATGACGTGCCGTCTGCTGTGCGCCCTGTTGGTGCTCGCCCTGTGCTGCTGCCCATCGGTGTGCGCGGCAGGGAGTGAAGATGAAACCGAACAAAATGCCTTTCCAAAGGTTGACGAGGAAGAGGAACAAGGTCAGGAAGTGGAATTGCGTAGTACAAATTCTCCTCCACAAGAGATAAAGGACGAAGGGAGAGGGACGGAAGATTCACAGAAAATGGAGACTCTTGCGTCAAATATAACGAGTACAATAACTGAAACGCCACAGTCACAAAATAGTTCCAATAATACACGGGAAAAAGATGGTGGGGGGTCTAATGGACGGACAGAACATACGAATACCGTTACGGCAAATGAATAAAAGAAGGCCGACGCACCAACTACGATCACGACGACTACGACAACACAGGCGCCAACCACGACCACCCGCACACCGTCACTTCTTCGTGAAATCGACGGCAGCCTCAGCAGCTCTGCGTGGGTGTGTGCCACGCTGCTGCTTGCCGCATCCGCGCTGGCGTACACCACTGTGAGCTAAAGAGGTGTATGCGGGCTGTGCGTGCCAGCACTCAGCCGCGGGGATTTGTGCGCGTCCACTGTGATCCGATGTAAATAAATAAGAGAAAACAATGATTGTGATTTGCTTCATTTGCTTCTGCTGCGCTGCTGTGTGCTCCGCGTTGCTGCTCCCTGTATCCGTCACGTTGAATGCATCCCAGACACACTCACAAGCATGGCACGCCCACAACTGTTTGCGTGGAATCACATTTGAGGATGGGTGCATGCACACTGGAGCCATTTGGTGCAGCTTGTTTTTTGTGTTTTTACTGTTTTTCTCATTTCTGATTTTTTAATTTAGTTTTGTTTTCCCTTTGTTTGTGTGCTTTTTTTTTTTGTTAAATCATTACAGAGCGTTGTGCGTTTTCTGACTTTTATTGGTTTAATGTTTCCCATGAAGTGCGTGCTGCTGCTGCTGATGTTTTTTACTGTGCTTTGTATCCCCTTTTGCCTTTCACTCTGCGTTGACGTGTTGTTAGTTTGTGCTGAAGGCTGCACGCAATTGACAGGAGTGATGGCGATGATGACTGGCCGTGTGCTGCTGGTGTGTGCCCTCTGCGTGCTGTGGTGCGGTACGGTTTTTGGACACG